GGGGAGGTGTTTTGTAAACTATTGTTTGAAGTTTGTCAATAAAAGGCAGCGAGAGGAGGCCATCATCGGGGTCATTGTCGTGTGCTGGACATAGATGAGAGGCCTCCCTTGCGCAAGTAATGGATCGATCGACTGTCTTGTTTTCTTCATGATGAATAAGTCTCTAGAATTAGCGGGGTTTGTGGAAACACAGACCCAACACAAGCTTTGCTTAAGCATCACTTTTTCCACACTCAAAAGCTCTGACGTCAGAGTAAATACAAATTGCATCTGTTGCTCTTTCATCCCTTCTCTCTGCGCTGCAAGTGTTTCTCTTGGCAAAAGTTGGTGCCGCATAAGCCAATGAGTCCTCAAGTCTCTGAGAAAAAAATAAAAATCAACTTGTGTGCACATCTGTAGACTATCACTCATAAAAGTTAAAGTATTTTTTTTCTGTCAGGCTGTTTATTGCAAAATTTCTTACTTGCTGAATTTGCTGTTCTTCACTAGTTGTTTCTGTATTTGTTTTTACAGAAAAAGCAGCTGAAAAAAAAAACAATTTAAAAAACAGTAAATAACTGTATAGTGATCAGAAACAAATGTTTCACTGTATTTTGCTTTACAAATGAGTAGCAGCTAATAGGACGTTACTGAATATAATTTGAGAAATCAAAACTGAAGTAACTCTTCTTACCCGAGGTTTTGTTTTTTTCTTTGATGGTATAAATGAGGAAGGCTATAACAACCAGGCTTATGCTGAGAGCAACACATAGCAGAAAGACAATGGTGTTGGTCTTCTGCAAATCCCAATGATGGACAACTGAAAGTATGTTGAAAAAAGCTCTTATTTAATGTGAAGTAATAGTGAAATGCAATACTATTTATAATTTATACATTTAAATTCATTTTAATTAGTATTTGTTGACATTCACTTAATTGTTCTATAGTCAATATTGACTAAAATATGAACAATAATTTATAGAAAAATACTTACCTTCAATATCGAGTTTTGTTCCATTTCCAAACA